CCGCGCCGGAGGACACGGACTTACGATGGAGGCGGATGGCGGCGTAGCTGGAGACCTTGAAAACCGTGCTGGCGAAATTGTGCGACCTCGTCATGCCGGCGATGGCGTCGGTGAGGCCCGGTGGTGATCCGCAGGCCTCGGCCTTGCCTGCGCTGCCAGCGCCATCTGCCACGCGGCACGAAGACGCCATCTTGGGCGTGGCAGGGGAAGAACGGCGAGAAGCCACCATCTTGCGCTCTCCGCGGCGGGGAGCCGCCATCTTGGACACGTTGCGATGTGACGCCATTTTGAATATGCCGCGTGATGAGTCACCTGCTGAGGACGGCGCAGCAAGGAGTCGCAGCCGTCATCTGACAACTGTTAAGGAATTCTCCATCGGTGGCGATTGGAGTGCTTTCGCCTGCAGATTTTTGGCGGCGGTGCGCTCCGCCAGGTGGACTGACGCAGAGGCCCTGGAGGTTCTACCAACTCTTCTCGACGACGAGTCGGTGCGATTCTTCCGTTCTATAAAGGCCGAGAAAAAGAAAACGTTGAGAGGAGTTTTCGACGAGATGGCGAATGCATACGAGCCGCCGGATGATGCTCACCGCCGGTTTGTTCAACGCCAGCGAGCACCCGAGGAGTCGCCGGTGGCATACAGGGGTGCTGTCTTGGAGTTAGCCATGGCCGCATACCCGGAGACGGAGCCTGACCTACTCGAACCCCTCATTTTGGGCAAAATGCTCGAGCTGTCCCGGGATTTGGGGATCCCTATGCCGGTGTGTGGCCACGAAAAGCTGACATCCCGGGCGGCCGCAAAGTGTCTTGATGCCCAGTTTAACCTACGCCGCTGGAAGCAAGTCACGGCGTGGACGGGGGGGCCCATCATCGAGAGAGGTGCCGTGGGTTGGGATCCCAAGAAGGCGGTGTACGTTCCTGACGGGGGGGGGCCCGCAGGAGCTGACAGCCGCCTCTGTTCAGTGGTCGGCCCGCGGTGGACCGGGGCCGCAATCTGCACCGCCAACACGGAAGCGTCGGGATGGGGGACCTGCGACGCGACGACATCGAGTGCTTCCGCTGCGGATCGTAAGGGCCATTACGCCAGGGACTGCTGGGCCCGTATCCCAGGTCCGCCCCAGCAGGAGGCCTCGACAGCAGACGTGCCGCGGAAGGATCCTCCAGGACAGGCAAGTCGGTGCGCACCAGACACCCGGCAAGGCTTGACACCTCATTCATCACCATTGTCGCGCAATCCGGGTGTTGTTAATAACGGGAGGCCATCGACTGGGCCATGTCGCTCAGTAACGCAGTGGCGTAAATTGGCACGGCGGGTCGTCGCGGCCGCTACTGGTTCGTCCACTGTACCGGGTTCTATACAGGGGGTGGACGTGCGCATTTTAGTGGACTCCGGGGCGTCCGCGACCATTATATCGGATGTAATTTTCCATCTGTTGGGCATCCCACCAGAGGCCGTGCGTCCGGTTTATGATTCCTGCGTTGCGGCGAACGGGGGTAGTATGGGCATTGTGGGCCAGGTGGACGCCAATATCTATCGGGGGAGTGTCGGCCTCGGGAATTGTGTTAATTTTGAGGTCCCTTGCGGTTCCGTGTTTGTTGGGAACTGATTTTCTGGCCAAAATGCCCATTCTAATTAGAATTAATGAGAACTGTATCGAATTACCGGGGGGTCGTAAAGTTACATTTCTGCCGTCGCCCTGGGGGCGACCTGCTCCGGTCGGCCAGGTGCAGGCGCTGTCCGAGGTATCTGTTGACATTCCACCGGGCTCACAGATGCTTATCCCTTTGCGGTATCGGAAACCTGTACCTGGTCGAGAGGGAGCCACTGGAGTTTTATTATCGCCGTCCGCTACTATAACGGGCGGATCGGCGCTCGTAGGGGCACAGACTATTATCCGGCTGGACCAGCAGCCATTTTTGCAAGTGCTTAATGGGAGTACGGAAAATGTGTGTGTGCCGGCTGGAACGGTTGTGGCACACACCACCACAGCGTTTACGGCCCAGGACTATCTGGGCCGCCGGGAGATGGTTGCCGGTGTTTCGGCCTATGCGGCCCCTGATAATCGCTGGATAGCCGAATTGTGCGGAGAAAATTCTTCCCTTTCCGGGGAACAACGGTTCGCGCTTTGCGCGCTATTGTTGAATTATTCGGATGTGTTTAGCTCCGACGATCTGGACTTGGGACGCACCTCCCTGCTTTCTCATCATATTGACACAGGGGATGCTGCTCCTATTCGGTTGAACTCCCATCGGATGAGTCCGGCGGAGAGAGATCATGTTCGAGGGGCAGTGGACGACATGTTGGCTGCGGACATAATCTCTCCATCTAATAGCTCATGGGGTGCGCCTGTTGTCTTGGTCAAGAAGAAAGACGGGAAGTTGCGATTTTGTGTGGATTTTCGGAAATTGAATAAAGTGTCCATGGCAGATGCATACCCCCTGCCGCGTATGGACGATTCCCTCGATGCCTTGTCGGGGGCGAAGTTCTTTTCGACGCTGGATCTCTCTTCGGGATTCTGGCAGCTTCCCCTCGATGAGTCCTTGCGGGAAAAGACTGCTTTCCGTACGCCGCAGGGGTTATTTCAATTTAATTGTCTTCCGATGGGGTTGAATGCTGCCCCCGCCACATTTCAGAGGTTGATGGAACTGGAATTAACGGGGTTGCAGTGGGAGACATGTCTGATATATTTAGACGATGTTATCGTCTTCAGCCGCACATTTGACGAACATTTACTGAGGTTGGAGGCGGTGTTCGCCAGGATGCGTTCCGCAAAATTGAAATTTAAACCTAAGAAATGTCACCTACTGCAGCGGTCCATGCGCTATTTGGGACATATCGTTAGTGCGGACGGGGTTGCCACGGATCCGGACAAGACGGCGTGCATCTGTGATTGGCCAACCCCGGCCACGGTGGGGGATGTGCGTCAGTTTTTGGGGTTTGCCTCATATTATCGTAGGTTTGTTCCCAATTTTGCAACGATCGCGGGGCCTCTGCACCTCTTTACGGGTAAAGGACGAAAATTTGATTGGGGACCGCCGGAGGTGGCGGCGTTTCAAGGCCTGCGTGATCGGTTGGCTACGGCGCCGACGTTGGATTATCCAGATTTTGATCACCCCTTCATTCTGGATACGGATGCGAGTGACAAGGGCATTGGGGCCGTGTTGTCGCAGTCCAAAGGCGGTGTGGAGCGCGTGGTGGCGTACGGTAGCCGGGTTTTGTCTCCCGCAGAAGCCCGCTATTGCGTCACTCGCCGGGAACTTTTGGCTATTGTTTACTTTCTCCGCCAATTTCGACCGTATCTCTACGGCCGTTCGTTTATTGTGCGCACGGATCATGCGGCCTTGCAGTATACCCTGAAGGTGGACCAACCATCCGGCCAGCTGGCGCGGTGGTTGGACACGCTGCAGGAATTTTCCTTCCAAATTCATCATCGGAAGGGGGTGCGTCACGCGAATGCGGACGCGCTCTCTAGGTTGCCACAGCGATCCCCTTGCGCGTGCGCGTCGAGGACGCATAGATGTGCGCCAATCCAGCAGCCCCCTCAGCCTGTTGCGTTGGTGGTCGAGGTGCCTGAGGCTCCAGTGGGGCCGGGACCGGCTGATGGGGTTTTGAACCTTCCAAGAGCTGCATGGATTCGTGAACAAATGCTGGACGATTCATTGGGGACCCTGCGGAGTCGGGCTGCGAAGGAAAGCGGGGGACCGGGTTCTGGGGGAATGCCGGGAACAGCTCTCCGCGATGGACTGCTGATGTGGAGGGAAGGGTTACAGGAACGCTGGCGTCTTGTTGTACCGGCATCTTTGCGGTACGAATTGATTAGGACTCTGCATTGCGACACGCTATTACATCTGGGGGTGCAGAAGACCCTATTGACGTTGCAGCGAGATTACTTTTGGCACGGCATGACGACGGATGTCGTCGGGCACGTTCGCGCGTGTCCCGAGTGTGCCCGGCGGAAGCCGCCTAAACACCCATATGTACCACCAATACAGTCTATTCAGGTGTCTCGAGATAATGAGCTGGTGGCGTTAGATATTTTGGGACCCTTCCCGCCATCCGCTAAAGGAAATAAATACTTGCTAGTTGGGGTGGAGTACCTCTCCCGCTGGCCGATGGCCTGGCCCTTGCCCGACCAGTCGGCGGTGTCCATTACGGACGCCTTTCTATTCGGGTACGTTATGGACAAGGGGGCGCCGGAGAGGCTCCTCACGGACCAGGGCCGAAATTTTTCTTCCAAATTGTTGGGGGAAGTGTGCGCGGCTCTGGGAACTAAAAAGATCCGGACATCTCCCTACCACCCGTAGACGGATGGTATGGTCGAACGGCTGAATCGGACTTTGTCCGCCATGCTGTGTCACACGGTGAATGAAAAACAAGCGGATTGGGATTTGCATATCCCTGAGGTGCTCTCGGCATACCGCATGACGCCGCATGCGTCTACAGGATATTCGCTGTTTTTCCTTATGTACGGTCGCGAAAACGTGCCGCCGATGGATGTGCAGTTGGGAACAGGAGTGAGGGGACCTACTAAGCCTCTTCCTGATTACATTCAGGACACCGTTCGCCGCGTCACTGAGGCGCGGGAAGGGGCCCGCATGGCTACGGCCAAGGCCCAGGCCCGGAACGAACGGTGCGCTCGACGCTCTAAGGGGAAGTGCCCCTGGAAGGTGGGGGACATGGCCTGGCTGCATTGCCCACAGGTGCGGCCAGGGACCTCCCCTAAATTACATAAACCATGGCAAGGGCCTGTTCGGCTCATCGAGGTTCCCAACCCACAGTCTACACGCGTTCGGTTCGGATCTCGGCGTTGGTACGTTCACACGTCTCGCTTGAAACCATATGTGGCCCGTTTAACACGTAGGCTTTCGCGACCAATGTTATTCATAATCAACGTTTTTGGGTTTAGATCGCGTTTATTTTAAATGGAGGTGGAGGGTTACGACACATTTATAAATAAACGCGATCTAAACCCAAAAACGTTGATTATGCATATGTGGCCCCTCAAACGGATGCACAATCTCCTGATGTTGCCTTGCCGGTGTCTGTTGCTGCCGACGCACCCTTGCCTGTGCCTGTTGACCCTGCAAGAGCGCCTGTCGTGCCTTTTACAGACAAGCCGGCCGTGACACTGCAGGAGACAGGGGACTCTGCTCGGGGTGGGCCTACCACGGCTGCGGGGACGCCGAGCCCTGCCGCCCTTCCGACCCAGCCGCGGATACGATTGCGGGACACCCCGGACTCTGGCCCTTCGGGGAAACGGGACCGTGGCGTTGGCGGGCCTCCAATAGCGACAGGAAGTCTTGATCCTGTCGCTCTTAAAACCCCGTCACGTCCTCGGTCTGCAGGGGGGCCGCCGCCCGTCCGGGACGGGCCGGCGACCCGCGCGCGATCGAAGTCCCTTATTTTTCGTTGATTGATACTGTTCTTGTTCCTGTTGTTATTGTTATATTTATTGTATGCTTCGTTGTCCTTGCATTTCTGATGGTTGTTGGTCGCTCGCATTACTTGTTGTTGTTGTTGTTGTTCAGCCGAGGACGGCTGGAATTTTCTCCACGGGGGAGGGTGGTGTAATGCGGGCGTAAACGGCCTCGCGGATATGACGTTACGGGGGGAGGGGTTAGGTCACGTGGGGGAGAGGGGTAAGCTCTTAAGGGCGGTAACCGGAAGAGACGGGAAGAGAGTGGGAGAATAAAGACAGGAGGAGGCCACGCAGGGCAGAGGGTGGAGAGTGGCGCGATCGCCACGCGGTGGAACTCGGCAGCTGTGGGGCTGCAGCGAGGGCAGCTGAGAGACTGCACAAGGGGGGAAAAGGCTACGTGAGCGACGCCTGCAGCGGAGCTGCATCGGGAGTGGGGAAAAGGCTACGTGAGCGATGGCAGCTGTCAAGCTGCCAAGCGGAGGGCTCTGAGCGAGGGCCGTGTGGGGTAAAGTTGTAAGAACCCAAATAAAGGACAACGGAGACAGACAACGTGGAAGAGTAATTTATTACACATATATAACCTTGTTGTAACAGCTCTCTCGCTGGTTCAGCAGTTCCACTGCTGGATAATTTTTTCCGCCCGAGGACGACCGCTTGTTGCGATCGAAACGGCGTGATATATTATTTTAATTTCGTTTTATTTTTCTACCTACGTGACTTTATTGAAAGAACCAAAGAATATGGATTCCTGCAGTCACAAAAGCTTCAAATCAAGAATGTTCTACCATGTTAAATACAACTTGTACGTTAAATGTATAGAATGGGGAAAAACATTATGTAGCGAGATAAAAATGGCGGGCGGCTCAAGCCCTCTGCCTCCCCACTGGGGGCTGGGATAAACCATGTGACCTGGTACAAGACGGCGTTGCATATGTAGGGGTGTTATGGGAGGGCAAACAAACACACAAGGGGTGTTTGCGCCTGCACGCGTAAGGGTGCCTACATCCACGTCCGCATCGGTTAGCCCTAGGGGGCTGTAACGGCGCTGTTATCCCACCCCTCGGGGGGGAGTTGCTATATAAGGCGGGGAGCCGGTGAGCTCGGGGTCGAGTATTACAGCTTAACCAGCGAAGAGTGAAGACCAGCAGGATAGGCCCTGGGACTCCCCTGGCTCGCTGTCCTTCTAAGGACCGACCAGGGCAAGCCAGCGGCGCGGCTCTGAGGGCCCAGAGCCGATGCTCTTGTAAGAGCCGATGCTCTTGTAAGAGCCGGTCTGGTTGGCTAAGGGTGCCTAGATCCTAGCTTGGCCAGAGCGGGATCAGCTAGCCTCCCCTAGCTCTCTAGTGGAGGACCTGGGAGCAGACTAGCCGGGCTAGCGCTCAGGGTGTCTCCATATTAGATGGGTGAAGAGGCCGTTACCCCTTCAAGTATTGTGTTCTGCCCTTTGGTTGAATAAATAAGTGTGCCTCCGACTACGTCGTCTACGTCTCCTTGAACTCACTACATATATGGTCTTCTGCGGCAGCAGCATCATAATCGCGAACAGTATAGTTAGAGTATCTGTACAGGGCTTCTTTATGATCAGAATCATAATATTTATTTATCCTGCAGGAAACCGATGAGCTATGAAGCTCTTTTTCACAGATGTCCAGTAAGGCCATAGGAGCAAGTTGCAACAACAAAGGCAAACTGTAAATGTCAACCATGAATGGTCGAGCCACAGGAAGATGCAATCGGTAAACTGTACCTCAATAACTTTTGCGCGAAGTCAAATCCTCAGTGGGATAACCCGTGATAGGCAAGCGTTTTGGTGCATTTGAAACACGACATACAATAAAATGTTAGAAAAAGCTGAAAACGTAAATGAAATAAAATTAAAGTAAATGCAGTTGAAAAATCTATTTGAATGAGAGAAAACCGAAAGGTACAGTAAGTCCTCGCATAACACATAGTGTGCACACGTGTTTTTGCTTTTTACACAACGCGGAACATGCACCGTTATAACACAGTATTTGACCGGTTGACAACTACTTCCTTGAGCTATGTGGCTGAGTAACGCGGAATGATACGCTGCTTCCGTCCACCTAAAGGGTCGGGTCCGAGAGTCAATGAGAACATAGGTGGTAGAATGGCGATGCTATGGAGGTGAACATTCTTCGGTGGTTCCAAAACTTTGGGGCAGCTAGATTCAATGAAAGCTCAACTCTGGCTGGATGTCTACAGTTGCTTGCATTCTTGTAATGAGAGAAGCCTGTGAATAAGGTGAACGCTAAGGAGATTTTGTGTCACTTTCCTGGTTACAGATATTCTCAAACTTCACTTCAAATGGGCAACACCCTCCTACTCTGCTCTGTCCAAAATCTTCACTCATGATTCCTCCACAAACTCCTGGAGGTTACCTCGCTCTCCCTCAGTCCGAATGCTCCTCCTGCTTCACCCTGCTTCCATCCACCTGGAGGTTGGGTCTTGGAGTAAAATCTTCACATTCCACCTTCACTCCTGGCCATGTTTTAAAACTGGGGTCGTCTTCTGGTTCTTGTTCCATGCGAGATGGGCTTTGACTTTCACTTCTCGATTCCACCTCCTCCTCATGGATCTTCTCATGCCTCTTTCGGCCTTCGGAGTCTGCAAATGCTTTACCACACACCGTGCACTGAAAGGGGTTCTCATCCATGTGTGTTCTGTGATGAATACGAAGCAATCCTGAATCTTTAAATGCTTTCTCACATATGGTGCATTTGAAGGGTTTTTCACCAGTATGTGTTTTCTGATGTCTATCAAGATTCGATAACCATGAAAATGTCTTTTCACACACAGTGCACTTGAAGGGCTTCTCTCCTGTGTGTATTCTATGATGAATACGAAGAGATCTTGAATCTTTAAATGTCTTCTCACATACAGTGCACACAAAAGGTTTCTCGCCTGTGTGTGTTCTCTGATGATCCTGAAGAGTTCCTGACCGTGTAAATGACTTCTCACAAACAGTGCACTTGAAGGGCTTCTCACCAGTATGTGTTTTCTGATGGCTGTTTAGATATGATGACCGTGAAAATGTCTTCCCACACACAGTGCACTTAAAAGGCTTCTCACCTGTGTGTGTTCTCTGGTGAATATGAAGAGATCCCGATTCTTTGAATGCCTTCTCACATACAGTGCATTTGAAGGGTTTTTCCTCACTGTGGGTTTTCTGATGGCTGTCAAGATGTGATGACCGTGTAAATGCCTTCCCACACACAGTGCACCTGAAGGGCTTCTCACCAGTATGTGTTTTGTAATGGCCGTCAAGGTGTGATGACTGTGTAAATGTCTTCCCACACACACTGCATTTGAAGGGCTTCTCACCAGTGTGTGTTTTCTGATGGATGTCAAGATTCGATAACCATGTAAATATCTTCCCACACACAGTGCACTTGAAAGGCTTCTCGCCTGTGTGTGTTTTCCGATGGCTGTCAAGATTCGATAACCATGTAAACGTCTTCCCGCACACAGTGCAAATGAAAGGCTTCTCGCCTGTGTGTGTTCTCTGGTGTATTTTAAGATATGGCGATTGCGCAAATGCCTTCCCACACACAGTGCACTTGAAGGGCTTCTCTCCAGTGTGAGTTCTGTGATGGTTCTTCAAGTTGCTCATCTGATCCGTGCTGTATGGACACTGGAAGCATTTGTGCCTTTTAATTGCAGCCTGTGCCGAGTCTCCCAGCTCCATGTGATTGATCTGCAGATATATACATACGTATTACACACAATATATAGGCTGACCTCACTTAGCGCGACCCCATAGAGTGCCGATTCCTTATAAACACTCTTTGCCCTAAAGATTTTTGGCACAAAGAACATTTAGAAAGCACTTACAAGTATGAACACACAGAAGCGCTGGCTGAGAAAACGTTCTCGCCCCCATCATTCACTCAGCCAACAAGAGGGATGCACGCTCTGAGCCAACCAGATAGACCCCACCTCCCCGTCATTTGATCATCACAATTCGTGGTCATGATTACATTTCATATTATTACAGGCAATCGTCATGCTAAAATAACTAGAACACCTCATAATGATTATAAAACGGTCGTTTAAAAATGTTGACCTTCAACCATGTATACATGACACTCTCCATTTTGACTGGGATATAGTGAGCATAATCCACGTTTTTGAAAGTGCTTGGACATACTTTGGGCACCAATCCCTAAATATAATTTACAAACATGTGCCCGATCGTCCACCGTGGTTTGATCAGCATATTTCTGAATTAATAACAACCCGAGACATAGCCTGGAATAATGCAAAAACATCAAATAAACTCCCAGATTGGATTACATATGGAACACTAATAAATATTCTAGATTTGAAGCTTTCGTGACTGCAATGATTCATATTCTTAGGTTTTTTCGGTAAAGTCACGTAGGTAAAAAACATAAAAAAGTAAAATAAAATAAAAATCACGACGTTTCGGAGGCAACGCAAGCTTCCGTCTTCAGGTGGTACCGTCACAGCCACGACAGCTGTATCAAGTAAATGAGAGATTGCAGGAACTACCACTCCGTTTATATAATGGTTGGAGAAGATGGTGGGGCAAGGGCCGCATAAAAATTGCATTTTCCGAGACCAAGGTTCTCTGCAAACCTCCTGGCTATCATCAAAGGTTTGTACACGAAGCCATACAAATATACAAACACAGACATAATTTCAACCGTGATGACGGTTACAAACTGAGTAATCATTGGAAAGATGTGATTAACCATGCAAAAACGATTTAACTACACTTATTTGCCAATCTTATTTGACAGAGAACCATTACAGTTTTACCATGTTTAATGGTGGTCCCCCCTTTCACAGGTTGCGTCACAAACCGCACCTCTCCATAACAAAGGCGCAGCCTTTGTTATGCAGTCTATTCTTAGTCTTAAGCCTCACCTTACCATATTAATAAAAAGTATGCGGCCCTTGCCCCACCATCTTCTCCAACCATTATATAAACGGAGTGGTAGTTCCTGCAATCTCTCATTTACTTGATACAGCTGTCGTGGCTGTGACGGTACCACCTGAAGACGGAAGCTTGCGTTGCCTCCGAAACGTTGTGATTTTTATTTTATTTTACTTTTTTATGTTTTTTACCTACGTGACTTTACTGAAAAAACCTAAGAATACTAATAAATATATGTACTCGACAAGTAACACTCAACATTTTCATACAGTCATCAAACCATTCTAAATTCACAAAAAAAAACAAGATTCTTCAAGCAAGCATTCAATCCAATTGAAAACAAAGGAAAGTTAAATGTTCCTACAAAAAACTATCGCTGTGTTGTGTATGTACCCCCTTTTTATTGTTTTTAATATTATTTTTTTTTAAGAATTATTCTGCCAACATAGATAATATCGTTCTTTTTAAGAGACGCGGCCACGTGGGAACGAACACGCCCCCACACTTCCACAGAGGCCCCCACACTTCCACAGATGCACGCATACCTCATTTCAAAGGAAAGAGGACATGAAAGGGGGGCAATAAGGTAATAAACTCCCCTAAATTCACACAAGAGGAACAAGGGAGGGGGGAATTGCAGGCGGGGGGTTGCAGAACCAGGAGACACAGAGGAAGAGATAATTATATTCTTAACAAAGAAACAGCATCGACGACAAAAAGCACAGATGGGTCTTTGAACCATGTTAAATACACAAGTTACCAACTTAACCATAAAGATTAAGCAAACAGTATCCATCCTCTCTCCAATTGAAAACCAGACGACAATCTGAACCAGAATCGCGACCCATCATTGTTAATAAATACTGACATTATTTACCTTTAAAGAATATCTACACGGCCGGGCCGAAGCATCAAAGAATAATTATGGCATCGATTTCGCTCCAAAACAAAATTCCTAGCCGGGTTATCAGATCAAATAATCACAAGAAGTCAAATAATAAGTACGGAATTAAAGTAGAAGAGAAATCAAGGGCGGAGAAGGCTCTCAAAATTAACCAAACACAACACCCATGGGAAGCGAGCAACACGGCCGCCTTTGTCTTTCCGAGAGGATCACGACACACAGGCACCAAGCCAGGAAATGACACCCATAAAAGTTGGGGCAAGGGCTCAAAGGAAATTAACACACGCCTTCGAATAAATAAGCATACGCCGGGTGCTCCCACCGTGGAAACAACCGCCTTTGTCTTCCCACAACACGGACAGCAAAAATTGCACAAGCCAGGAAATGACATTTCCATGGGAGATCGGGTCACGATGAAACATCGTGAACACGGTTTCGGCATAACCAAGCAGCAAATAAGTCGCATTTCAACTTCCAAACCAAACCAACTTAAGCTGTGTGAGACAAAGGATGTGATCCCAGAGCAAGGGAGTGAATAGTTAAGCTCGCTTAACGCGTAGGTTTTCGCGACAAATATTATTCAGTAACAAAACATGGATTCGAATGTTTTTTTTAACTCAACGCGAATCATCGGTCTGGCTAATGGATAACTTCTGAAGCAGCCGACACGAGGCCCCCCCCCCCCCCCCCTTTCTTCCAGAACGACACACACAGCTGTGTCTTCAAAGCTAATAAACACACGGACAAACACGCACGCGAAACACACGGACAAACACGCACGCGAAACACACGGACGGACACACACACGGACGCAGATGGTCCACCCCCACAGGAAGGTTTTATGACACAGCCTTTGAACAACTCGGGAAGCCGAGTGGAATTTTGCGATATAAACCGAAGGAAAATCCATACAACTCAGTTCGTCAGGGGCTCTGGCCCCCATCACAGAGATATCATCTGGGCTACGAGCCCATCTTCGGCTCCACCACAGATCTTCACGAGCTCCGGCCTACATCTCATCTCGTCTCCGGGCTAAGGCCCCACCAGAGTTCTCCAGGGCGACAACCATCTCTCCTCGTCGCCGCCAACGAAGAAGCTCCTGTCATTCAGAATGACGAGGGTCGCGGAGTAGCGACGCGTAGCTACAAGCCGAGGTCTGCACCACCTGAGAAGAATCGCTACCCTGAGTCGCAGAGCTGCGAGTGAAGCCAACAAAGACGCCAACGTCCACCCTGCCACGAACGAAGCATCGCTCCTCGTCAGAGTGACGACCAGCGAACAACCCGCAGGAAAGGCGGAGATCGCTGAACGAGCGCCAACTTGCGCCACCTTGCGCCACCGTGCGCCACCGTGCACCACTTTGCGCTGAACGTGCGCCACCGTGCGCCACCGTGCGACACCGAGCGACAACGAGCGACACCCAGATCGACCAGCATCAACCCAAACCGACTCGTCATCCCGCCGTGGAGAAAAAGAGTCAAAGTCTTCTGAACGAGCGCCGCCGCTCACCTCACAGCGGAGAAAGTCTCAGCTGCCGCTCGCACAAACAACAGAGGTCGTATCGCTCCCCACATACAGACTCAAGAAAACACAGAGAAAATCTTGTCAAACCAGTTTCCTTTGTCCCAGAATCTCGCCGAAGAATTAATTAAAACAGAGCCAGATTCGCTCTCGCGCCCACACGCCCTCACCCACCATTGTATCAAACATTCCGTTAAGAGGATTTTTATACTTGCCGATGAATCTATTGACATATACTTTCGCCTCTTGGGTATAATAAGTGCTATATTACCGCCATAGGAAGTGTGTCATGCTTGTTTTCAAACTCGACCAGTCGCCGATTGTGATCGATACATGGGCGAACTAATGAGATGCCGGGTAGGAAAAGTAGAGGTTACAATTGATAGAAGTGTATTTAGTCATTCAGTTCGTTAAATGCATAAGTGTTTATTCATTCATTTTAGTCAAATGCATAAGAGTTTCGTTATTCATATTGCATAATTGCATAATTTCACAAATGCATAAGTGTTTATTCATTCATTTTAGTCAAATGCATAAGAGTTTTCGTTATTCATATTGCATAATTGCATAATGTCACAGCTGCATAAGTTTTTGTCGTTCATATCAGTTAATTGCATAATCTTGCCCATGAATTATTGACGCATGTTTGACCTGCATGATAGAATGTCACGTGTTTGTTAGAATAAAATTGTTATCACAGAAGCATATTGAGTGTTCTTTCCAAGTCCATGCAAAACCATCTTATTCATAAGAGCTGTATCCTGCGATGAGATATGAAAATGGAGACCTAAAATAGTATAACACACACTAGGATAATCGGTAAATGAATCTATGATAATCGCGTTATCCTGATTGATAACTCTGGATAAACGAAACTAAGCAAATTATCATAACTGCACACATTAACATAATCGCAAGCCTCCGCATAAATTACTACGATTATCTCCGTGATTATCATAATTTATGCATATAATCACATGCATTATCATACTTTATGCATGTTAATACATACACTATCATAATTAATGCGATTTGCGCATTTTTCGGAAAATTATTAATTTTTATTATTTTCATCAAAATTTCATAACCCGACAAATACAACATAATGGGTGGCGTCGTCCGGGATCTCTCGCAGACAGTGTTTTGCATGGATGATGGAATGAATCACTTCGTGTTAACCAGAATATCAGGATCGAACATTGCATGGTAATTGTGAACGGGCGGAAAACTAAAAAACGCCCTCTAAGGTTAAAACCCAGAATAGCAGGTTAAAACAGAGACAGTGGAATTAAGATAATATCGTATCAAACCAATTGCATCCTCTGATAAATGGTGTTAGAGGTACGCACTCTGAATCGGAAAATAACAG